GAAAATATTAACTCTCGCCTCCCACCTATCCTACCTACTCGAAGTACTCGAAGTTCGACTTACCCTGCTTATGCACCTCGCGTCTTATTTATTCACTCACGGGATTTATGGCGCTGTTTTATCTTTATTATTTATTTTCGAAAATGTCACTTTTCGCCCGTAACAATACAAGAACATCTTACAAGAGCATGGATGAGTGAAATAAAAACATTTTTTTACTATATAGCAATAAATTAAAAATAGCTTTGACTAAGAATACAGTTTTTACAATTTATGTATTCAATTAGATATTACCAAAACTGGTTAAAATTTATTAATCGTAACTTCCGAAGACAATTCAATTTAAAATTTTTATAATAAATCACATTAAGAAATTATTTTGCAATAGAAAGGGACCAAACTGGAAATAAGATTTTGTAATATTTGGGTAAAATTCGGCGCAAAAATCCAGAAATCGATTGGTATAAAGAAACTTAGGGGACTTGCACATCACCCGAAATTATTACCAATTTCCGATCAAAATCATATTTTTTGGACTCTTTCTAATTACAAGGGCCCCACACTTTATGTCGTGTTTTAATTGTATCTTTATTTAGTTAATAATTATATTTAAAATGGGTTTCTTTTTTGAAGTAAAGTCAAGTGTAGTTCAAGTTACATATGAGCGCTGATAAATAAATTTCATTTATTGGGATCGAGTATATATATGCTTTCTCATATGACGATAGATCAATACCGGTACAAAAAAGATTAGAGTGAAATTAGAAGCTGAAACTGTCACTATCGTTATTTCAACGATTCAACTTTGTTTTTGTTACATGATATGCGTGGAGGATTTTTATTGGTTGATATATTAAAAAAAAACTAAAAATTTTGGATTCCCGCTCTGCTGACCCGGCCGGGATATGAAAACCGAAAATATAAGTTTGCATGGCCTAATCCAACTTTTAATTTTAACTTTAAATCCCAATTTTTTTAATAAGTAATTATACTATTGGTAACATTTAGTAAAATTCTTATTTAATTCTAAATTCAAATAATAAAATAAGATATTTTTGGTTTAAAGTTTTAAATAAAATTAGTGTAATTTATATTTTTAATAAAAATGTTTTTTTTTATACTTTGAATAAAAATATCTTTATAACACCTAACGCTAATTAGATTTAATAAAAAATTTTTATTTGAATTTTATATACAGTGCAAGCAACTCTCGTTAATATCAACCCATTTGCCTATTTTTCTTAATAAGAGGTTGATATTAACGAGGGTTGACTGTATTTATACGTATATATATATATAATGTAAAATTTAACAAAAAATTAAATTTGATTAGGCGATCATTAAGATATCTTTGCATAAACTTGAAATTTGTTCTTCTAAATATATAGCAACAATTTAACTATATAGTTAGGTATTTTATATTGCATATAAAAAATCACCTATCGTCACCAACAACTACAGTATTAACTCTGAAGAACAGTGATACCGAAAAAATTAAATTTTATTATCGTGCAATTTACTAATTGATTATATAAGCGAACCCTTATTCGTCACGCAAATAATTTATTATACAAATTAATTGACTCATTGTGGCTGCGCCACCAATCAATTAATTGAGCTCAAATAATTGCGATTTCAATTAATTTCCCCTGCTGGAGAGTACGTACTAAAGGCGTAGATCTAGCTTTAGAAGTAAATGTAATATGATATACGTATTATATGTACAAGATCTAACAATAGATGTAACGAATTTTAAGAAAAAGGGATTGCATATAATGAGAAAGGAACAATAGTTACTACGTACGTTCTTCCAATCATTTATTAGATTATTAGAAAATTTTGCAGGTAAATTTTCTCGAGCGGATAGAACAGCGCCAAAAGCGGAATTCTGCACAGATTCTGCCACAGATTCCTGAACATCTTAATTTGGTAGTTCGTTCTTTGTTCCAAACTTCTGATTTTTTTTTTAAAAAAAAACTTCCATTTTAATACATGATTGCTAATTAAAAACCAATAAGAATAGAAATTAAGGATCAAAAGAACTCGAATGTGAATTTCACATACATTATCCAAACTTGGTTTTGAGCAGGTTCTAAAAAGCATTAGCGTTAGTCAAAAATTACATCAATATATACATTTATAAAAGATGCGTAGATGTCGTCGATCTATCTAGAGTTGCTACTTTAGATATATAAAGTAGCACCTGACAAGAACTAAGCCCCTCAAATTTGATATTCATGCGTGTAATTCTAGTCAGGTGCTCCTTTTAGATATCTAAAGTAACTCCAGATGGGTACGTACGGATGCGACATATATATATATATATATATGCAGGTTTATCTGTTATTTATAGATTTATTATCACTATTGTTATTTTTAAGCCACAGAAGGATTTATACATAGTACGTACGTACATGTTAGCAAATGGGCATTTTTCGTGCAAATGAAGCAATGAATATTTTTTCTTGTAAAAACTTTAAATATAAATATGTTTAGGTTTAAGGTTTAATAAATTCCCAGCAGAGCAATGGAATAATGAGGGCAATGGAATAAAGCAGGCAAAATTTCCTAATCGAGTGCCAAAAATGTCCTGTCATTATATTTCGTTCCAGATTCCAGTTAAAAATCTTACCTGTGACGTATTATATGTTACGTTACTTATCGGATTTTTAGATTAGCGGGAATAGCTTGGCTAAAAATCTCATTGTAATTTCCGCTAATCTGACATTTAAAAAAATGGGGTAGAGGGAATGGTGTTTATTCACGAATAGAATATTGGAATACGGTACACTTGACCCCCGTTAATATCAACCTCGTTAATATCAACCTCCCGTTAATATCAACATTTTATTTAGACAAAATAGACTCAAGGTATATAAAAACTATCCTGATATTATCAACCCTCGCATATATCAACATAATTGCCCAATCCAAATGGGTTGATATTAACGAGGGTCAAGCGTACTAAAAAATAGATTACCTACTTGGAGGTCTCAAATATGATTCTGGCACAAATAAAAAAAAGATATATATTTCTGCATATATAATATTAAATACACATCATCAAATCGTTCACATAAATTTATGTTTGTTAGGTTCTACAAATCTAAGTAACTTTCTTGTAAAAACGTCTTTATAGAATTTAAATTTACAAAATATGCTCGAAATAATAAATTATATGTTTTTTTTTAAAAGTAATAAGATAAATATATAGGTAAAATATAGAAGTAAAATGCTTTATCATTATCCATTAAACCACAGAAATACACCCCAGGTACAATAAGCAAAAATGTAGTATTTAGAGAATAAATTTACAATTTACAAAAGGTATTTTTTTATAAATTAAACTTGACTCGTAACGTGTATTAGGAAGAATATGTATTTGCTGGTGGGTGCATTTATAAAGATTTACTGTATCTAAAATGTAAATATGCAAACATGCAAAAGAAGTTTGCAAATTCTATCTTCACAAAAAAAAAGTATTATAATATACATTTAATAATGTTAAGAAATAAAGGTAATAAATAATTTACAAATAAAACTATCTTAAAACTGATTATTATCGTTAAAAATTTTTCACGAATGATTCTGTGGATCCGTTAAAAATTGAAGAGCCGAAAGATGACCTTCGTTCATTATATTGTGATGCAGTTTCACTATTTAGTCGAGTTTTATTGTGAATTGAGAAAATAAATATATGAATTAGATATTATATATAATAAATTAGGTCACTCTATATGTATTTTTTATTGAACCTTACCTAGAATCTTTATATACAAATAGGACAATACAAAAAAGCAAATAAGTAAAGGTTTATGAGGTTCATAAACAACGAAACATATATAACTAACATACCTTTCTGTGCAACACTTTTACATGAATTTGAACAAAATCTGGAATATCCTTTAGGAAATTTCTTTTTACAAGGGTTCTTTAAACAATGCTGGCATTTAGGTATTTGTTTTGGAATTTTTGATTGTGAAGATGTGACCTTATCTGGTAATATGAATGATTTTCTGTTCGAAAGACCGAATGCAAAACTCTTTGGTCGTTGTCCACTGGTTGGAACACTAGGTAATGGTTTTGATGGATTATATGTGCTAGCTCTTCTATTTGTTTTTTCAGTAGATTCATTTGTAAAAGTATAAGTACGATTACTGGCTAAAGATATTTGAGAAGGTGATGTGGGTAATGAAGCTGTTGCCAGCATTTCTTGACTTGTGGATGAACGTTTATTGGATGATGATGATGATGATAATGATGAATGAGGATCCTCAATATGATGTAAATTTGATGAAGATGATGTATGTTCAGATGATTCATTCATGTACTCTGACGTTCCATTAGTTGCAAGCAGTTGTGGTGTAAGTAATTTCTGTGGCATGTTTCTTTGTGTCACGGATGGGTAATAATTTTGTAATGTTGTTTCTTCCGAATGTGTAGAACGTCTTGTAAAATTCATGTTATTATTGGAAGACGAGTGTCGTGGTGCATAAGCAGGGTAAGTCGAACTTCGAGTACTTCGAGTAGGTAGGATAGGTGGGAGGCGAGAGTTAATATTTTC